AATAGAAATAGAAATAGAAATAAAAATAAAAATAAAATACAAAATAATAATTATCATAATAATGAAATAAAATAATCATCACACTTTTTGTTACTTAAATTTGGATACATAACACATCCTTTGGTGTTAATCTGCCCTAAAAAAAAGGATATTAATATCATTAGTTGTTACAATTCATCTTGTATCCTATTGTTCTTATATACAAGGTAGTCATTCATTATATATTTCAAAATCTGGCATGACTTATAGATTTTCTGCCTAGCAATAATTCATATGTAACTTCAATTAGAAATGCTGTAGTAAAAAATAAATAAATAAATAAATAAATGAATAATATCAATAATCACATTAAAGTGTAGTAAAGCTTTATCATTTTCATAATCACAAGTCTTATCAACATCTTGGGCAAGGTGTGAGGGTGTGAGAGGGCCTGGCTTCCTTCAGAGACTGTACTTTCCATGAAGTATTTTGTATTATTACATAATTTGCAGAGTTGGCTGCTGTGGGCCTTGTGACAACTGCTGTAGTTCAATTCTGCCTATGTGTAGCATTCTATATCATCTACAATGTAATGAATTATATTAAATATGTAACCTGGCACTGGCAAAATGTACACAAGCAATTACTGTTAAAACTATGCAGTAACTGTTTTTTTATAATTTCATACAACCAAATCTAATGTGGTTTAAATTTGCTAAAGATTATCGTCTTGTAAACAATATTCCTTAAATAACATAAATAATGAATTAATTCCATAAAAGACATTTTATTTCTGGTTTCACTGTGACAAAAGATAACGCTTTAAAAGCTATGTCCTACTTATTTACTATAGATGATAAAATGTGTTCTCTACCTTTTCCTCATCCATTAATAATGGTTTCCCATGTAAATTTGTTACTATAGATAACAAGGAGATAACTTTACTACATCAATGTTTTTTTGTTTTTGTTTTTTACCTATATATGAATTGCAAATGGAACAGATAGTTTCATTCTTCAAGCCCAGGCTGGGATTTTCATTGCTATAAACGAAAGATTTTAGAATCTTAAACAAGGCATATTTTATGAAGTCTTAAATCAGCCTTAAATTAAAGACAGTCAATTCTGTTCACAATCCATTAACAAATTTTGATCTGTTTCTTATTTCTATACTCAACATCATGATAAATTTGCGATAATAAAGCATTACTTTGGTTGATCACATTCTTCTAACAACATAGTTTTATTTACTTTATTTTGGCATATCTTCAATTTCAGACAAATATAGAGTAGCTCAAAGGAAAACAGTCCATGACACCAATAAATTAATGACTACCAGGAGAATTTTCTTAACTGACATCAGAGTTATTCCATAAAGAATATGAAAAAAATACACTTACAGCTGGATGTGGTCATGAGACTGGTATTAACTGGTATAACCTTTGGCACTCCAGTAAAAGCCAACAAACCTCTTAAAATATATAAGCTAGCAGGATGAAGTTTAGAGTGGTTCCTATATTAGATGATAAATCATCAGGCAGGTTTACTATCCATCAAAACCTGATCTTAATAACTTTTTCTATATTTCAATGTCCATACATTATAAATCATCATATATGAAAAAAAAAAACAATAACTAAAGGAATGAAGGAAAACCTCTCTGAATTAACTTCTTAATATATCAGTACTATGAACTAATTATACAGTAATATATGTATATTTAAAACTGAAATTATAACTGCATATCTTTTCTTGAGCGTATGGCACAACTCAGCCTGTATTTAATTTTAAGCTTGATCATTACCAGAATGTTTATCTTAAAAAAAAAAAAAAAAAAAAAAAAAAAAAAAAAAAAAAAAAAAAAAAAAAAAAAAAAAAAAAAAAAAAAAAAGGATGAAAGAGAAAAAGAAAAAGAAAGAAAGAAAAAAAAAAATTCAAGATTAATTGCAAAGAACAGGGTGGGATAACAGACAGCAATTCATCACTTCACTAGTTTATGTCTGCAAAAAACATTTTTACGAAGACATTTCATCTAACTTCATGTTTTCTCCTCTTTTGTTCACTAATGTGCAATTTCTAATCTTGTCACTGTAACAACAATTGCCAATAAATCTCCACAACACATGTCCAGGCAATATAAAGTTTGAATACATGCATGGAAAGCTATCACTAAAAAAGAAACCAGTTCATCCTCTACCTTGATAAAATATATGCTAGAATATAGGCCGATGTGCAAAAATAGAGGTTGTCACTGTTGATTGACAATGCAACACTACTGGGCTGAAATGAAGATTTTACACCATTCATCAATGTGACTAGGGAAAGAACACAGCTAATATACCTCCATAAAAAAAAAAAACTTATCAAAAGCCGCTGTAAGAGAGAGCAAGCGAGAGAAGAGAAATCTTGAAAAATTTTTACCACTTCTGTTCAGCAAAGTTTATAACATTATCATACTACTACAGTTTACCAACTAACTACACCCTCTAAGACTAAATTTCTATTACACCAGTCAATAAGTTTAGGGGCACTCCTGAGAATCCTAAAACCTTCCTAGCTCCAGCCGATCACTGTATTTCCCCAAAGTGACAATAATTGATTGTGAATCTACGACTTACATGCATAAAGAGAGTTTATGTAGGGATATCACACAGGTAAATACTCACTGTGAGGCAGGGTAAAGGTGAACTTAGTCACTGCGCGGCATTTGTCGTGACCCATTTCTTTTGTTTTATAAGTTATTTGCTGCCTGTGCTGATTATTTCTTACATCAGTGGGTGTAGTTTTATCCTCTCTTTATGTCCTTAAAGTATCCTTGTCTTAGTGTGGTCATGACATAAATACAAACCATAACCCTAAAATCAAATAAATGTATTTTACCAACTCCGAGTGTCTCTGTACTTCTTTCGATCATGTACTATCCCTCTCCATACTTATTTCTTTCAAACACTTGACCTAAATTTATTTCTGTTGGATAGCATAAAATAACTAAGGATTACCAATATTTCGTATAATCTAAATTTCCAATGCCACTAATCTTGTTACTGCCGCTGATGTATTAATAACAGCAAGGTATTTTTTATTATATTTTCTAAACAAACCATATAACCTATTATAATAGTATCCTCCCAAACTAAAAATCTGCCACTATTTTATGAAAATTGGTGCATCTCCCTCTATGTGTTTCAAGGAAGGGTGGTCGATCATGCACTACACGCAAAGACTTTAAAATAATATGTTAAGAAAAGAATAATCACATCTGAGGCATATTAGACACAACTTTATATGTCAAATCGTGTAAACTATGACAGCGGAAGAGGCGGTCAAGCACGTTCTTGTCTTACTTAGGGTTCTTGACACAAACTCTAATAAAAGGAATGACTAAACTGCAATAGAGCAGATAAGGCATGCAATTAATAATAAGAAACACACTGGGATTAGAATTTTCCTTCACTTACATTATTTACGAACAATTCAAAATATAGAACACTATAAATAACATGAAAACAGTAAGAAGACCCAGTAAATTCGACTATATAAATATATGATTTTTTGAAATACCTATTCAATAACCGCAATTACTGGTCTGGTATTCACACACAGAGTATCCAGAATACAGGGTTTATAGATTATTCATTCACACTTCTTCCATTCACTGACACTTGTTTATTGCCTTTCTCGTAGTAGTAGTTTGACAACCAGGGAAACCAAATGCGCTAGACTTCTCCCTATTTCACTCCTCCTGGGTTTATTTCCTCTGCTATTTTACGACGGAGCGAAGACACTTCAGATAATAAGCTTTCTACGGGCATATGTACCGCTATCCTCCCGTCATCGTGGAGATAATAGTGAAAAACGAAAGAACTTTCTGCCACACTCACCCAGTCGGTCCACCATCTTTGTTATTTTATTTTCCCGAATGAAATTTCTCTCACTTCGAACACGCCTTTCTGTTCTTTCCCGGTAGATTTATGACCTTCGGTAATGTGTAATTTGCTTGAACTGTGCTCTAGGTCAGTTCATAGTCAGATCGTTCTGTTCTAAACGTGTAAAATGTTATTTTTTTCTTTTCGGAATATATCTCCCATTACTCATCCGAATCTACGGACGAACCTTGACGACTTCCGACGGAAAAGACATGAGTAATTTACAAACTCGGTCCATTGGACGGAAATCCCTTACACAAAAATAAGTTTCAGAGTTATAAAAGCCAATTAATTGAAAACTCATCTGAAAAGAACGTTTCGAGTATCAATTGTGTGCCTCAGAGAGACGGCAGAGGATCCGAACGCACCGAAATCGCAACCTGAGGTCACGTTGGCCTTTGACCTCGCGATAAGGATATCTGCACAGACATCAGCCTACCCTCTTCCTCTTAGCAGAAGCTGATGCTGAGATAAGACTTTACAGGGATACCCACTCATAGGTCCAAAGTTTGATTTCGCGTTATCCAGGCTTAAGGATTTCACGTTATCAGCATTTTGGAATCCCCCCCCCCCTCAAAAAAAAAAAAAATATATATCTAAATATATATGAGATAAAGTTACTTGAGGAGACGTCCTGAGATGCGAATATGATCAGATGAAAAGTTATCTATGATCTTTCGATTTCTTATCTTTTTTATCTGATGGACCGAGTAGGGTTTTTATTTACATCTTGTTTTAAGGTTTTCCATTTGCTAGAAGATATGACATATACCTGACTGCGTTTGCAATATATTTATTTGCGTAAATTCTTGCAAGAGAGAAATAACCGAAACAGTAAAATAGAATATATATATAAAAAGGGAACATCGCTTTGCTCTCCTCCCGAATAAGACAATGGATTTTCAAGTGAATAATTTGTTTGCCTGACAAGTGCACTTGGCCGTTAACCTTGCCGTATTACAAGTCAGAGAGAAAAAAGTGCAGCTAGAAAATAGGATGTGTCCATTACAAAAAAACATCACGTGACATATTCCAAATATAGGACTGAATATGTATATAAATAGAATTGTCTTTCATCAGCCCAAAAAAAAGTAAA